ACCTCCACAGTCAGTGCGGCAGAGGTTAGCAGCGCAGCCTGCAAACCCATATTGACATAATTTATTAGCAACCTTGCGTATATCTTTTTAGATCCTCCGTCCGGCTTTTCTTTCCGAACACCGAACCGAGCATCAGGGGCTACTGTCTATGCGGTATTACATTACATAATTTTAACTTCTTACCTCAAAGCCTGTTAGAAGGCTACTGCAGGCTTTGGTCAGCCCGCTCTTGGCGAGCTGAACCTTCTGAATCACCGCACTCATAATAGTGCGGTGTTCTTCCTCAATGGAGGCGCCTTGGAGCGCCTCCAACAAGTTGTCCGGCGCCTCCGGTTGAACGGGGGCCGCCGGTGTCACGGTCTTGCCCTTCTTCCGAAGGGGCCGCCTACCGGACTCTGGAACCACTGCAGGTTCCGTCGTAGAGTCCGGCGCAAAGTCCAGGAGGCTGCCTTGCGGCGCCTCCGGAGCCTCCTCCTGATGGGTCCCTTCCCGGGATCCCACCTCGGCGTCCTCAGCGGCGCGAGGGGTGGAGGCGGTCGGAATGGATTCCACATCCGACGCAGCCAACGACCCGCTCGACGAAGCAGGGAGATCATCGTCGGCCGGACTATAGGCAGTATGCGGCATTAGAAGGACACTATGTGACGTAAAGGAAATTGCAGATTATTCAAGGATCCGGATGCTTACGATCTCGCCTGAGGCCTGGCCCTCGAGGGCCACTCTTCATCGCCAACGTTGGTGTTGGCGGAGCTGTCCGGGGGAATAGTTCTTCCCCTCTTGGACCCTTCGGCCTCCCCTGTTGGGGAGGCCTTCCTCTTCCTCTCTCCCTCCTCTGGGAGAGAGTCTTCTTCCTCCTCATTTTCGGGGGAGGAATCCGCCTCGGAGTCGTCGGACACCTGAAAATGGGAACTCTTTCGAGTACCCGTGGCCACCTTCTTGGCCTTCTTCTCCGGCACCACGTGCGGTGCCGGAACCAGCAGCCCCGCTAGACGGGCGTCCACTGGGTCTTTTGGCATGGGAGCCGGGCAGATGAGCTGCTCGGCCTTCTTCATCCATTCCTGTCAAAGGAAAAGGGAGATTAAAACCCGCTTAGGGTCGAACTATTGACAACAAGTGTCCCGTAAAGGGGTAGAATCACTTACCTCGTCAGCTGGACGCCGCAAGTGGAATCCGCGATCTTCCGTTGGGGATGCGAGGGCTTCGGCGCCCTTAAACAACACCCTCCAGGAGCCTTCGTACGTTGTGTCGAAGAGCCCGCTCAGCGCCTGGTGATGTTCCGGATTGAACTCCCACAGATTGAATGCCCGTTCTTGGCATGGGAGAATCCGGCGAACGAGCATGACTTGGACCACGTTAACCAGCCTGAGCTTCTTGTTCACCAGCTTCTGGATACAGGCTTGGAGTCCCGTCAGCTCCTTCGAATTACTCCACAGCAAGCCCTTCTCTTTCCAGGAGGTGAGTTGCGTAGGGATGCCAGATCTGAACTCGGGGGCCGCCGCCCATGTAGGTTCGCGCGGCTCGGTGATGTAGAACCACCCCGATTGCCACCCCTTGACAGATTCCACGAAGGCCCCTTCGAACCAAAGGACGTTGGGCATCTTTCCCAACATGGCGCCTCCGCACTCCGCTTGCGTACCCTTCACAACCTTCGGCTTGATGTTGAAGGTCTTGAGCAACAAGCCAAAGTGGGGCTGGATGCAGAGGAAGGCCTCGCACACGACGATAAATGCCGAGATGTTGAGGATGAAGTTCGGCGCCAGATCATGGAAATCCAGGCCATAGTAGAACATGAGCCCCCGGACAAAGGGGTGAAGTGGAAAGCCCAGTCCGCGGAGGAAGTGGGGAAGGAAAACGACCCTCTCATGGGGCCCGGGGGTGGGAATGAGCTGCCCCTCGTCGGGCAGCCGGTGCGCGATGTCGCCGAAAAGGTATCCAGCGCTGCGCAGCTTTATGATGTGCTCCTCCTTAACGGTGGAGGCCAACCACTTGCCTCCCGCTCCGGACATGGTCGGAGAAGGTTGAGACAAGATGCGCGAACTTGGGCGCTGGAGCTCGAGTGCGCGGAGGTGGATAAGCAAAGGAGGAAGAAGGCGTAGGTGAAAAGGTGAATCCTTATCCCTTATATAGGCGGACAAAGACTATACGTCCCCACCGGCCCGGTAAAACTCGCTTATCTCCCAAGCGCCACCATCAATGGCGCGGTTGGGTTACCCACGTCCGTATTGATGAGAATCCCGGAATAAGGGGAACACGATCTCTGCTTCGACAAGACGTGCCAAGGAAACCGCTTCGCTAAACGCGCTGAGGTGGTATAATAAAAAACGATTCAAGTAAAGGCTTGGTAGTGGTGTGACGTCATGCCACAAAATACGTCAGCAGATTGAACTTGTGTATATATTATTCTCTCTACGGTGGAACGTGGAATTTATTTTGCAGAGCCGGACACTATCCGGGTGTTCACAATCTTCTCTGGATTATTCAAAGGAGGAACCCGCCTTGCAATGCCGAACATTATGCGCCCCGGACTCATCGTCATTGAAGCCAGGTTCAAGGGCTACTGAGGGAGTCCTGGACTAGGGGGTGTCCGGACAGCCGGACTATCATCGTCCGCCGGACTCCAAGACTACGAAGATACAAGATTGAAGACTCCGTCCCGTGTCCGGATGGGACTTTCCTTGGCGTGGAAGGCAAGCTTGGCAATACGGATATGTAGATCTCCTACCATTGTAACCGACTCTGTGTAACCCTAGCCCTCTCCGGTGTCTATATAAACCGGAGGGCTTTAGTCCGTAGGACATAACCTCCATTACAACAATCATACCATAGGCTAGCTTCTAGGGTTTAGCCTCCTTGATCTCGTGGTAGATCCACTCTTGTAATACCCATATCATCAATATTAATCGAGCAGGACGTAGGGTTTTACCTCCATCAAGAGGGCCCGAACCTGGGTAAAAATATCGTGTCCCTTGTCTCTTGTTACCATCCGCCTAGACGCACAGTTCGGGACCCCCTACCCGAGATCCGCCGGTTTTGACACCGACAACAGCCTTTGAACTCTTGTAAGGACAACTCGTCCCTCTCAATTTCTGCATAGGGCACATCCCCATCGACATAGTCCAGGCAAGGACCAATTCGAACAAACTCTCCCCCTATGTGAAATCCAACGTTTAAAATCTATGTTGGGTCCACTGATTCAAAAAAAGGCAAATACATTCCAGCGATCGACGGATTAAAACACTTGAGAACAAAAAACGACAGCAAATCAAACAATTAGGACCCCTAATTTTACCCTGCTCAACCCTCCTAAAACCCTAAACCTAACTAAGAAGACAAAGAGCCTCGTTCGATGACTAAATAGAGGAGAAGGCCAGTGCATACCTTCCACAAAGGCGAATCTTGGGGGTAAAAAAAGAAATAAAATGTGGCACCAAAGTGCACCAATGAGAGTATGATTGCGAGATTTGTTTTTCAATGGGTAATGTCCGTCACAAAGGCGGATCTTGGGGGTAACAATGGAATTTACTAAAAAAGGAGTCATTAAGAACCCTATGTAGAGTTACGGCCGTTCCTTTTATCTGTCTCATATTGGAGAGAAATTCCAAACGGGTCGTCTAGAGTTTGCTTTTTGTGTGTTCAAAGTTAGCTTGTGGTGTGACCTCAAGAGGTCGTTCTATAATTAGTCACTCTCGTGATGTTCCTTTTTCATATGAATCATGAGAAATATTATATGTCTATGTAAATGCATTCCTCTTGAGGAAATAAACAGCTAAATTTAGTAGCTTTGATTGCATATGTCCACAAAAGTTTAATCTATCATAAAAAGTATTCCCATGGTGTTAAATTAACTTTACTAACTTTAACAACTATTGTTAAAGTTTTTCATTTTGAAGTTTGGATAAGTTTATACTTTATACAAAAAAATATCAACATTTATGATGCAAAACAAAGAGTATTGATTAGAAAGCATGTTTCACGGTGTCTCTACTGATGTTGAACTACCATCATAGATGTTGATATTGTTTTTCATGAACGTTGTCAATCTTTTAAGGTGCGTGCTATGCATCGGCCGGCAGATCTTTCTAAAATACCCGTCGCCTCGGCAGCCGTTAGATCTGACGCTATCAAGCGTCCAACACAGTTCTCACCCATTGCAGAAACCTTTTTCAACATATGTCATGTTGCAGAACTTTTTTTCATCTTCACTTCTTTGAAACACGGGAGAAACCTTTTCAACATATGTGATGTTGCAGAACTTTTTTTCATCTTCACTTTTTTGCAACACGGGTGTTGTTGTGGAAGGAATTTTTGCAACATAGATGATATTGCAGAAAATAATTTAATAATTCTTTTCGTCATCACATTTTTTGCAACAATGGGTGTTGTTGCGGAAGAAATTTTTACAGCATAGTTGATTTTGCTGAAAATAATTTAATATTACTTTCTTCCTCATTTTTTTGCAATATGGGTGTTGTTGAAGAAGAAATTTTTACAGCACAGATGATGGTCCATAAAACAAATGCAGTTTTTTTTTCCGCCTTCACTGTTTGCAACATGGACGTTGTTGCCAAATAAATTTTTGCAATACCAATGATGTTTCAGATTTTTCCTTTTTTTGGCAGAAACAGGCAAATAAAGACAAGCGTCGTATGGAGGAGGCAGCGGACGATCGTGTGATCCGCCAGCTGAAACATGGAAGAAAATAAATTAAACTATATATATTAGCACGACCCAAATGCTATGTTTACTCAAAGTTTAGTGGCAAGTTCGTGGCGAAATTGTTCTCAAATATCAAATGCTATGTCTCCGATTTAATAGTTGGGGGAGTGATAGCAAAAGTGTGCCCACTTGCACGAGATATATAAAGCACGTAGTACACCGAAGGAAGCCTATCAAAAGAAGTACACACGCTGGTGTAGACCTAAGGAAAACGCCCCCATTTGGGCTCGAGTCGACCAGTCGCAACTCTTCTTCTCTGCCCCCGCCCCTCCCCTCCGTCGCCCATGGAGGCTGCAGAAATCGGCGGCGCTCTCCTGTTCGCCCTCGCCGCCGCCGCGGCCCTATTCTCCGCCGTCTCCACCGGCGCCGTCGACTTCAGCCACCCGCTCGCCGGTACATTACTCTTTCTCCCTCTCGCTTCTTTCTCCCTCGCGCCCCGCGCCGGGGCGCACGTGACGTGATCTGATTTCTCGGGCCATCATTGCTCTTTTTCTCTCTCCTCTCGCAGTGGGCGGGCGGGTGGACTTCCAGGAGACCATCTCGTGGTTCATCGGCATCTTCGATGGCTCCTCCTCCTCCTCGTCGGCGGCGGGGGGCGTGTCGCTGGCGGAGGTGTACGAGCTGTGGGTGCGGGTGCGGGGCCGGGTGATCGCGCCGGCGCTGCAGGTGGCCGTCTGGGCGTGCATGGTCATGTCGGTGATGCTGGTGGTGGAGGCCCTGTACAACTGCGTGGTCAGCCTCGGCGTCAAGGCCGTCGGCTGGCGCCCCGAGTGGCGGTTCAAGTGGGAGCCCCTCGCCGGCGACGACGAGGAGAAGGGGGGCGCCCACTACCCCATGGTCCTCGTGCAGATACCCATGTACAATGAGCTGGAGGTGATCACAATTTCTTACCCATTATCTCTTTTTTTGGTGATGTCCAGAACACCAAAACAAATTCTTTTTAGCTGATTGTGTTGGATCTATTATCGATCTCTTTGTTCTTTTGCGAGGTTTATAATATTTGTGCGTCTTGCTTCGTGCGGTCGAGCTGTGTGCGTAGGTGTACAAGCTGTCGATAGGCGCGGCATGTGAGCTCCAGTGGCCAAAGGACAGGATAATCGTCCAAGTGCTGGACGACTCCACCGATCCGTTTATCAAGGTAGACTTTAACTCCTCCTGTTGCATGGCTGGATTTCATTCTGCTGAACGATACTACTATTATTTATTTTAGCACGACTGCCCCCATACCGCATTACTGCATTAGTACATTACAACCATGTCTGTTGCAACTTGCCTATTTTATTTTAGGAGAAGTGGTGAACCTGAACACTCACCTATCTAGCTCTATAGTATGGTCCTCCTCAAATAAGTGAGACTTCAACCTGCTGCTGCTGCTGCTAAGAAAGGAAATATGAATTTAGACCTATCCTATTTGTGATACTACAGCAAAGAAGTCAAAAGTTTTGATACCAGACAAGACTAACTGTCATAGGAGCATGCAACTTATTCTTAGTTAGGTGGGTGTCGAGATTTTCTTTTTCTTTCAGTTTAATCGTAGGCTTCTATATACGGGGTTATTTGGATGAAAGCTCCTTCAACGTCTGGCATCGAGAGAACTAGACGTAGCATTGTCACTGGGTTTCCTTTCACTGTCAGAACTTCGCAAGTTGTCACCGGAGCAGGGCGAAAATGATAATTATTCTCTCGCGTCTGGATTCTGGGCCCTGCAATCACATGGGTAAAGTATGTGGGCCCCAACTCTCTGGGTGCTGGGGACCTATGTCGGCCAGTATAAGTAATGATAATGATGCAAGTGAGAAATTGTAACAGCTCATTTCCCGGTGGAAACAGTTTCAGTCCAATTGCCAGAAAATAGCGCTTCCTGCCCATTTATGTTTCAGTTGCTCCACACTGACCTGGACATCCAACCAGAACCACACATATTTATGCCACGGGTCCACCGGTCATCACACAAAGTGCAGCCAGTGCAACAATTTCTGAATCTAACCACACCAGAAGCCATGGAGACCATTGGACACTACTCCAGTCAGTCAGCAACATGGTCCAACTAGGACCGTTTGGAAGAATGGTACTTTGCTTGGTAAAGTGTTGGTATGTAAATCTGAACTAAACATCAAAACTTTACCAGAAGTTACTCCTCTTCAGTTCAAAAAAAAAAGTTACTCCTCTTCTGCACAGGCCTGAAGTTTAACCCTGATACTGATTACCGGCGAGATGGGTGGGTGTTATACAGTATACATCCACATGAGCTCATTTACTTAGTCCTGATATTTCCCTACACCAGGAGGCCCCTGCCCCTGCCCCCCTCCTGCTGGCCGCCCACTTGTCCAATCTTTATTCGGACCTATGGATCTGAAGAGATTGTTCAATAATTGGTGGGCATATTCTTCTCAAAGAGAGGGATCTTCCCAACTGCCAAAAATTATGACTTCTATTTTGGATCGAAGGCATTTACCTGACACTCTCCGTAGTATTCCTTGCAAATTGCTCTTCTTTTGAACATTCAGATTGTTGCACACCATACAATTGACTAAGATAAATCATTTGATATTCCATAAAGGTTCGTTTTGGGGGAAAATGTGAAGCCTATTTCAGTAGAAAAGTTTATGCAATATAGCGATGCATACATGGGGTATCAGACCTTCTCGTCTCTTTTTAGTTGCAGATTGGCCGAACTGAAGATTATATTCCAATCGACAGGTCGGTTTAGTGGGATGTGGTAGAAAGACTGATTGGCGTGCACATGTACCTTTAGATAAAGCGGGGGTGGCCTCCCAAACAAAAGTCTGTTAGTGTAGTAAGCAGGTTGACCTCACGTTAACAGTGACATTCAGATCTGTATTATCCCATTGGATTTGTATAATGCCATCCAGTGACAATAAAGACCATTTGTGATGGCATAGCAACAAAACTAAACCTTGCTTGAGAAGGAAGTTCTCCAATTGCAAGCGGAGACATTCAAGGAACATGCTAACAAGTGGTTGAAAAGTTAGTTCATCCTTTCCTTTTTCCCACTTACAAGACTTCTGAGTTACCAAGCTCAAGTTCCTCTGTGATCAGACTTCACAGGGCAATAACAAAATGACATGCTAAGATATGCTGCTAGAACAGGATATCGATATTCTTATATGCAATCTAGAGCATCTATGCTGATTGGTTACTTGTTTCTGCAGAACTTGGTGGAGCTTGAATGTGAAAGTTGGGCGGTCAAGGGTCTGAACATCAAGTATGCCACGAGAAGCAGCCGGAAGGGGTTTAAAGCAGGAGCCCTGAAGAAGGGAATGGAATGTGACTATGCCAAGCAGTGTGAATATGTTGCCATATTTGATGCTGATTTCCAGCCTGAACCAGACTTCCTTCTCAGAACAGTGCCGTTCTTCGTGCACAATCCAGAAGTTGCTCTTGTTCAAGCTCGGTGGTCGTTCGGTAAGTACTCCATTTACTATCAGCTCTGGAGCATTCCTCCTTCCAGCTACAGGTCTATCACAAGACAGTTTTCAATAGATCATGAAATGAAAACTGAACTATAATTTTTCTTTTGTCCTATATGTGTGCACTTGTCGTATATGCTTTAAATATTTTATCACATCACCAGTTCACTACATAGGAATGGTATGACCATTCCCTGACCTCATTCGAAAATGCACGGAAGCACTTTCTAGAAAACTAAGGCGAGAAAGTCAGGACAAAAAAACTCACTTTTCTGGTTGCACAAAAGAACCGTCTCTTTGCATTTCATGAACATCTAAATCGTGTTCTGCTTATCCTGTCTTATCGGTCATGTGGTGCCAGAAACAAAGTACCAAAACAGTTCCCAGAAATTTGGCTTGCAAAATAGTGCTAATGTACCACTCCACAGACATGATAGCGTTTTATTTGCTCCGATTGAATTGATCGGTTCTTAATTGACAGAATTTTGCAGTGAATGACACCGCGAGCCTGTTGACAAGGGTACAAAAGATGTTCTTTGATTACCATTTCAAAGTTGAGCAAGAAGCAGGATCAGCAACCTTTTCCTTCTTCAGCTTCAATGGTACACACCTTTACAACTTACGGATTCTAAGCCACAAAATAAAATAAAAAACTTTAGAACATAGATCAGAAAATAAATGGTTGTCTTAAGGAATTTCTGTTTTAAACCAAGGAACCGCTGGAGTGTGGCGTACATCAGCCATCAAAGAGGCAGGAGGTTGGAAGGACCGCACTACAGTTGAAGACATGGACTTGGCAGTCCGAGCAACCCTGAAGGGTTGGAAATTTGTATATGTCGGGGATATCAGAGTGAGTGGATTTTATACCACAACAATGTTGTTGAAAGTATTATAGTCTGATGCAATCAATTGACTATGCAAGCAAAATGCAGGTTAAGAGTGAATTGCCATCCACTTACAAGGCCTACTGTCGACAGCAATTCCGGTGGTCCTGTGGTGGTGCACATTTATTCCGAAACGTAGCAAAAGATATTTTGACTGCGAAGGTAGGGTTTTCTTCCCTCGTTGGGCTCTAAAACAAAAATATTTAAAGAAAACTGAAGTTCATCCCATTGTTGTTTCATTAGGATGTATCTCTCATCAAGAAGTTCCATATGCTCTATAGCTTCTTCTTGGTTCGGAGAGTTGTGGCCCCTACTGTCGCGTGTATTCTCTACAATATCATACTTCCAATCTCAGTTATGATCCCAGAACTATTCCTACCAGTCTGGGGCATCGCATATATTCCCACAGTACTTTTAGTGGTCACAGCCATTAGACATCCAAAGTAAGTTTCTCAAGAAGTGCTTTCAGCTACAATTTGATTACTGTCTCCGCTTCTCCACATACTAAAAACTTAACGTCCTTAAAACCATCTCTGCAGAAATTTACACATTCTGCCATTTTGGATTTTGTTCGAGAGTGTGATGACAATGCATCGCATGAGAGCTGCCCTCTCTGGTCTATTCGAATTATCAGAGTTTAACGAGTGGGTCGTGACAAAGAAAACAGGGAACAATTTTGAAGATAGCGAAGTTCCCTTGTTACAGAAAACAAGGAAAAGATTAAGAGACAGGTAAACCAACATCTTAGTCAAGTCTATGAGCATTCAGACCATATACGCCAGACTGTAACTGACATCATCATTTTTTTCTTGCAGGGTTAATTTTCGCGAGATTGTATTTTCGGCGTTTCTTTTCTTCTGTGCATCGTACAACCTTGTATTCACTGGCAAGACTAGCTACTATTTTAATCTCTATCTCCAAGGACTAGCATTTGTATGTCTAGGGCTAAACTTCACTGGCACTTGCAGTTGCTGTCAATGACAACAACTAAACTGTACCAAGTGCTGTTATACAGTTTGTTTATGGGTGTAAGAGTTTCAAACATTTCAGATGATAGCCTTAGATGCATAAACTTGATTGTTCAACTAACAACAGTTTCCATATCATACTCTGGTCTTTGGGTGATGCTTTCTCGTACAATGTGGTGGGGGCAATAGGGTTTGTATGCCTTGTAATTCAACACCATTTGTCATGTACTCTACAGGAAATGTAATGTGTTTGGATTTGTGTGTGTGTGTGTCTGTGGAGCGCTAACAAGCAAAAGAAGTACCTGTCCTAAATGCTTCAAAGTGCAGCTGCGCTATTTGGGTGTTGCGAGCGCATGCAGTACATGACAAAAAACTCACCCTATAAAAATAGTACTTCCTCCGTTCCTAAATATTTGTCTTTCTAGAGATTTCAACAAGTGACTATATACGGAGTAAAATGAGTGAATCTACACTTTAAAATATGTCTATATACATTCGTATATGGTAGTCCATTTGAAATCTCTAGAAAGACAAATATTTAGGAACGGAGGGAGTAATTAGCATTCTGTGTCATCATTACACTACAAGAAAGGAAAGTATCTGTTCGTGATCTCATCGACGCTACCTACTTTACACAAATCAGTCAAGAAAGGACATGTACGTGCATTTATTTGGGCTTAATAAAATTTTAAAAAGCCATAACTTTTTGATTCAAGTATGGGAATTCAGATTTGCTTTCACCGTTGGGTTTCTCGCGACGAGTTCTTCAAAAGTAGATCCCATATGGATGTGTTTCGACAAACTTTCTGTTTTGAGCAACTTTGGGTGCTAAAAAGGCAACTTTAGTGCTATAGAAAAACAACTTCTTCTTAGTTTGTCTATTATGATTGCCTATCAACAAGAAGTCATTATAAGCTGCCTCACATGCCTACAATCAATGATACTGTTGCCTAAAACCATGTATCCAGTTGCCACAATCAACCATACAGTTGTCTAAAACCATGTATCCGGTTGCCCATGATCAACCATACAGTTGTCTAAAACCATGTATCCGGTTGCCCACAATCAACGATACTGTTGCCTAAAACCATGTATCCACTTGCCCACAATCAACCATACAATTCTGTAAAACCATGTATCTAGTTGCCCATAATCAACCATACAGTTGTCTAAAACCATGTATCCGGTTACCCACAATCAACCATACAGTTGTCTAAAATCATGTATCCAGTTGCCTAATCCTCATGAACAGAAACATTACCAAGACCATAACTTGGCTAATATGTAAAAGTTTTAGATACCTTTCAAGTTTGTGTCATAGAGATGCATCAATAATTTATCTCCTCCGGGTGGGATCTCTTGGTGCGATCAAACTTGGCGGATTCTGCTCCTCTTGTGTCTTAGGAGATAGGATCCAACTTGATGTTGGAGGGAGCAATGGAGGCTGAGGGGCCTTGAGAACGTCGCCTCGTTGTTCGATTTGGAGGATTTTGGACGTACGCACTTGTTCAAACAAATTAGGTGACCATCATTGGATGGTTAAAGGTGTCTGGAGAGGCTGTTCCCGACATTTGGCGTGATTAAGTGTCCTTATGGTAGGAAATTTAGAGGTGAAGTTAGTTAATTGGTAGTCATGGTAACCAACTTAGAAGGATCCACCGCTGATAGGTAGATGGAAAAAAGGCCGATTTTTTTATTAATAGTAAATGGTAATTCTGTAATTCTGAAACTGATAACAGGCCGGTGAAAATTGTAAAAATAGAAAGGACGCCAAGAATAAAAACATCCAGGCTGGACTCTATTGCTAACTGCGTCCAGGTCTGGACGCTAGTACAGACAGCGTCCAGTCATGCCGTTCGATTAGTGCTCTGATTAGGCTCAATCGTGTCGTTTTCCTCTGATATATAGATGTTTCATAACCTATAAACCCTAATACGCTATATCACCAATCATCACAGGATGCAGGAGCAACATCATCTCACTGACCGCTTGTCATTAAGATCATTTGCTCATTGTTAGGATAATCCACTCAATCTATGGTTGGCGCATGTGAGTTGTTCCACAGCCTCGTTGAATTTTCTTGGTTTGGTCTTCTGTACAATTTATTCAATGGTTGTGAGCGTACATTGTATCGATGACTATGAGAACAGATAAGTCACCTTGAGTCGGCAGAGACATGCTTTCGCCTCTACGTGTTGGTACACCGCTGCCAATACTTCTGGAACATGGCGTGTTGGTGCCATATCCTTACGCGAACCTGCCGCACAGGTGGCACCTTAACGTCGATAGGGTTCCGGTGCCGGCGGTATCGGACACAGGGCACGCACAGCTGACAGAGATCCACCACCATAGTGCTCTATTCCCGGCCGACCTCCTTCGCGACCCAGCTTACACAGCGGATTCACCGAACTAGGATGCGTGGTTCGCCACCGAGCACGACCAGCTGGTCATGCTTCAAGGGTGCGCCCCGTGCACCACACACACTCACCGTTCCAGCATCACTGGCAGTCGTGGTGAAGGAGGAGGGGGATTAGGAGGCCAAGGAGGAGGCCTACATTGCGGCCCTCGAGAAGACCACAAGGAGGGTCATCGAGGAGTCTGAGCGTGAGGAGCTCGCCAGGTGGCCTGTCCTTGCGCATGCGCTGGCCAATCGGTGGCTAGAGTGGAGGCCAATGCACCCCCACCACCAGCAGCACCGCCCGCATCCGACCCTATGGAGGAGGAGTGATGCGGAGCATCCTACAGACATCACCATGTCAAGAGTCCGTTTGGCAAGTGACACGTGCGACCTCTACTTCTCACACATAAAGGTGAATCTTCTCCTTTACACGTGCTCACTTGACCCCTTCGAGGATGGTGTACTACTTGACACTTCTCCCGTGTGCATGCATAAGTATTGCCGGAGCTTCACAAACGACGAGGAGGAGTGCAAGCGCCAAGGAGCACCTACACCATCCGCGAGGGAAGCATGGAAGAGAAGACGAAAGAAATGGAGCTGCTACAATCTACAGCCACTGGACGACCAGACTATGCCGGACGTCCGACACCTGGAACTCCAGCCAGCCCAAGAGTCCTCCCGACAAGATCTATAGCGATCGGACGACCGACCGAGACCGGACGTCTGACACCTCCCAGGCCACGGACGACCGAGCGCCACCGGACGACCGGTGCCACGGCGACAGAATGACATTTACGGAAGTCCAAAGACTTCCGGACGTCCGGACCGTCCCGAGCCTCCGGACGTCCGACACCGACCAGACGTCCGACGCCTGTGTGCGCAGCCGCGGGCCTTTGGCCTTGTATCCCTCTCCCACTTACCCCTTCGTGGCTTAGACTATAAATAGACCACCTCCACCTCCTTTCTAGGGTAAGCAAATATGATAGCTCATTCTTAGGTGAGCTTTGCTCCTACCTCCTCCTGTTGAGAGAGAGAGAGAGAGATCACTCCCATGGAGTTCAAGACCTCCATGTGAGAAGATCCTGCGGGATATCGTCAAGACCCCCTCGTGGGAAGATCCTTCTAGGATTCCATCAAGACCTCCTCCTAGAGATGAACTCTACCTTGTATCTTTCCTTTTGTTGTTCATGTACCCTTGTGGATCTTGTGTGTTTGATTGTCTAGTGGAAGTGTGATTGGACTTGTTCTTGAGTGTTTCCCCTTGTGATTTCTCCCCGTTCTTCCCTGTGTTCTTCATGTTTTTCGAGGGATCCCACTCCAAACGTGAAAGATCGCCCTACACCGGGTTAGCCCCGTATCATATGGTATCATGAGCCACGTTGATCACGTATTTGGAGTCCCTCCCACCGTTTTGCAGCCTTCTTTTGCTTGATTTCGTCCTAAATTTCGAGAATCCCCACCAAAAATAGCCCCAATTTTTTTTGTGATTTGTTGGTTTGGATGATGTTCTGTTGATTTTGATCCATGGATTTGCTTGGTTTCAAGCGGATCTAGCTTTCCCCCATCTTTTCCCCCATTTCCATCCACGAAATCTCCTCAATTTTTGACCCCAAAATCCCAAAATTCCGCCCAAAATCGCGTCCCGGAGCTCAAATCCCGCGTTGACCCGACCCCCGGACGTCTAACCTTTTTCGGACGACCAGAGCCTGCCAACAGAACAGAAATCATGGATTTCCGAGCCCTCCCGGACGTCCGACGACCGGGCATCCGTCCATTTACGGACGTCCGTAACCTGTAGATTCCCACTTCGGATGATTTTTGTTTTGTCCATAAGACCATAACTAATTCATCCGAACTCCGATTTTGACGTTCTTTAGCTCGTTTCGAAGCTATTGACATTCCCATCCCACAAAAATACCACCAACATCATTTGACTCCATCAAATTTCCAAAATTTGGCAAGTTTGCCTAGGCCTTCCACCACATATCATCCGCTACACCACCATCGACTTCCGCAACCTAACCCATCTTGTTCCCCATAGCATTAGTGGTTGCTTGAGTAGTGATTCGAGTCTCCTAAGGTGTTTCGGCTACTTAGGTACGATTGCTTCTTCATCAACCACCACCACCACTTCCGCATAGGCTTACCCACCATACACTTCCACCCCAACTTAACCCAATTTTGTTTAAGTTGTGAGTTGTGTCTCCTAAGGTGGTTCGGCTACTTAGGGACGGCAACTTAAACTTCAACTCGCATAACCCATCATTCCACTTCCGCATTGCCAAGTGCAAACCACCACCGCTCTCCGCTACCACCATTTTTATTGGGGAACGTAGTAATTTCAAAAAAATTCCTACGCACACGCAAGATCATGGTGATGCATAGCAACGAGAGGGGAGAGTGTTGTCTACGTACCCACGTAGACCGAAGCGGAAGCATTGACGCAACGTAGAGGAAGTAGTCGTACGTCTTCCCGGTCCAACCGATCCAAGCACCGTTACTCCGGCACCTCCGAGTTCTTGACACACGTACAGCTCGATGACGCACCCCGGGCTCCGATCCAGCAGAGCTTCAGGGAGGAGTTCTGTCAGCACGACAGCGTGGTGAAAATCTTG